TGTAAAAACAAATATGTTGTTTCCTTGAACTCTGGAGGTCAATGCCAAAGCTTAGCTTCACAATGGACAACCTTTGAGACCCTGCTTCATAATTTTAAATTTTGATTCTTCTGCCGATCCCACAGATGTCTTCATTTGTGAAATATTTATTTATTTGATTATATTTATTTTTCAAGTTGTATCCTCTTTACTATAATAGACTTCTCCAGCAAAGGTAAATTCGAAAGTTGTTCAAAAACCATTCTACTGAACGGAAAGTTTGCCCCAAGATTCTTTGTCACAAGAAATTTACAACAATATAACAAATACAATGAAAGAAATGATATAAAAAATTCATCATTTATTCTGCCTTACGGTAAAGGAATAATATACAAAATAGTTGTACCTACACATGCGAATTTCTTAATTGATAATTTTGCTGTTCGATACCGTAATGTGAGAGTGTCCTTCTATAGAAAGTACGTGAACTATCACATTTTTATCAAAAATCAGTTTGATTGCTATACAGTTTTCTGGACAATAAAATGTCCTTCGATCGTCCTCGTTCATACTCGCTGTCTTTTCGATACCCCCGAAAACCGTCATTTCTGGAGAAAAATGAAAACGTCAAAACTAAAAAATGTCGCATCGAAAGGAGAGGCAGTTTGACTCCGGGTTTGTCTATATCGACTCCGTCTGTGGTTTGCGAGAAACGACGAGGAAGCCTTATAACAAGGTATTTCATAATATATACTGTATATTCATATTTTGTTATGTGCCCTGTGCTTTGACTTCTCAAACAGTTCTTGATAATTATTCTTTCATTATCATTTTTGAATAATTTGATTTGCATAGTAAGTTCTCATCACATAAATGTATATTTCATATATCTAAATAGATAACTAAGATAACTAGATAGTTTTACAAAAACGCAACACGTGTTTCGCCATACAATGGCTTTCTCGGGCGTGTCTTAATAACTAATTCTACACATTAAATGCTATATATACCTTATTCTACAATTTAAGGTACCTGAATTTCAAGTACCTGAATTTCAGGTACCCGATTTTTTACCTAAGTTTGTAATGAATTCAATCATTACCTGAGCTTATGTTCTATTTTTCACATTTGAAAAAATATTCAGTAACGGAGAGTTATTTAATTCTAATTGATCATTCAGTAAATTACCCGAATTCCTGAATTTATTGGAGTTCCAGAAAGAGCTGAATTTGACGAAACAAATCGCGGTTAATAACGGTTACAAAGTAGATATTATAAACGCCATTGTTACCAAAAAACTTCAAAAGCAAGCCATGGACTTGGACTACCCATATTTAAGATGCGATAGCGTCAGTTATAGGACATTGGCATATTTGGGTGAACCAACCAGGAATATTGCCCGTTTTTTAAGAAAGAAGGCGTAAACGTAGCTTACAGAACGAATAATAATGTAAGTAAATTTATTAAAAACAATAAAGACAAAACTTCGGTGTGGGATAGGTCAGGAGTATATGAGTATATAAGCTGACTTGTGGCTCTTGTCCAAAACTGTATATTGGCCAAACTGGAAGAACATGTTCCCAAAGAATTAAAGAGCATAGAAGCAGTTTTATAAATAGAAAGACCAATTTCATGAGTTCAATCAGGAATACGATGTACATTTAGAAGAGAAGAGTTTGAAACTCAATCTTCTAGAATGTTTAGAAATCAATAGATTTATGAATTCGGGTAATTTACTGAATGATCAATTAGAATTAAATGACTCTCCGTTACTGAATATTTTTTCGAATGTGGAAAATGGAACATAAGCTCAGGTAATTGAATTCATTACAAACTTAGGTAAAAACTCAGGTACCTGAAATTCAGGTACTTGAAATTCAGGTACCTCAAATTGTAGAATAAGGTATATATAGCATTTAATGTGTAGAATTTGTTATTAAGACACGCCCGAGGAAGCCATTGTAGGTATGGCGAAACACGTGTTGCGTTTTTGTAAAACTATCTAGCGAAAATCACACAATAAAGTGTTTTTAGAATACGTTAGTTATGGATTTTAATCAAGTATCGGCCGATTCCATCATATATCTTAAGATAACTAACATAAGTAAATAAAAATAAATACAAACATCCAATGCCCAACATGATTTTTCAAATGATTTACCAGTATGTAAAATTTACTTGAAGATAACAAAGAGCTTCATGTCCTTGTTTACCTGAGGTTGGGACGGATTTTATTTAGTGTATATCTAATGATCCACTATTCATTTTAGCACTCTATGAATATTTTCATACTGAAAAATATATGAAAATTTTCTTTACAATATTCTCCTAGCAAAATTGTTATTCAACGTGACATTTTTTTCACATGATACCCTAATACATTCTGGTAAGAATTAGTAATGATACGAATGAATTTCATTTTAGATCAAAACGTCAGCACCGTAATTTGATAAAACGTCCGGAGTTTTGTTGAGATAAGTCAATCATCAGTTTGCCAGTTCCTACATTAAAATCAACCAAGAACTCTGATTTGAATTTCCATTAAAATTGAAAAAACACAAGTCTGGCTAATTGCCGATTTGTTGAAAAAATAAATATATTGACGTTTTCGTTGGATACTGCCGGTGTTTGACTAAAACTACATGGTTTTTTCCGACGTGAACTTTGAAAAATTACAAACGACGGGATATAAAGATGTTATATATCACAGTTTGAGAAATGTATGAAATATATACACAAACTCTTTTAGAGAGCAATACTTTTTTTCTGTTGATTGCGATTTCATTATATTTTTATCTAACAATATGACAGTTCTCAAATTTCACTGCAAAGTTATTCATATAGAGTAAACCGTAACTGTCAACTGTAAGAATATACATCATGAATGTTCAAATCGTATGTGAATTTATCCTAAACGCGAATATGTATGTTTTTTTTCGTTCATATAAGTAATAAGCTCAATACCACCATTTTCCGTATTGTTTTGAACGTTATTGTTGATCATTAAATACAAGCTTGAAGTAACTTTTCTATTATTATTGGTAACTCGTTATGGTTGAAATCGATTGTAGGTACTAGTATTATTTTTTTTTCCAACAACCACTCGCCATGCCGTGGGGTAAGTGATCATTGGGTCCGAGGATCATACGCCCTGAGCAATCGCAGTGAGCCCAAGAATGACAGCCTTCTGCATTTGTCCGGCTAATATTTCTGCCTTCGTGCGGCAGGTCGATATGATTTTAAGATTCGAGAGTAGAGAGGGCATCATTCCACTAAGGACTCCAATTAATCAGAACAACCATCTTGACAGAGTGGTCTGGATAGAGTCTCCGGAGTTCGAAGAGAAAATCTCGATATTTCATCCGTTTTTCCTCCTCTTTTCTGACGATATTTGTCTCGCCAGGAGCTGAAAACTCCACGACAAATATCGTTTTGCTCTGGTGGTCGAGAAGGACTACATCAGGCTTATTAGCTTGTATGAGCCTGAGGGTGAGGAACGAATAGTCCCAATAAATTCGGCACTTCTCGTTCCCCACAACGGATTCAATATCCCCCGGAGCGTAGGGCAACACCGGTGTCTCGTCAATACCGTAAAAGAGTACCGTAGATGATAATATAGCACTCTTAGAGCCGCGTTATGTCGATGGATATAGGCCGAGTCCAGCATGCTGGACATGCTGATAGAAAGTGCATTAGGGTCTCGGGCGCCTCGTGGCAGGCCCTGCACCTTGTGTCAGGAACCTCTATACAAGCCTCTATACACCATCCTGGCAAGCCTTGATGAACCCCTCAGTTTCCGACTTCAGCCCACTCGACCTGAGAAAAGCGAACGTAAGGCGCTTTGATAAGCCAAGGTCTCCAATGTTATTGAAGAAAACCCCATGCAATGGCTTATCCTTGCGTTTTCGCAGAAGTAAGGAGATCTCTGCGGCTTTTATCTGAGCTTTTTGCTGAACGGGTTCCAACTCGGTGACAGATTTGTGGTCACCTCGTTCAGTGTCGAAAAATATACCGAGTTCATCAGCTGGGCAGCTGCCCTAAAGAGAAATGCTCCATTTCTTGCTTTCTCATGGTCACGGACCATGCAGAAAAGGGGATCCGAACCCCTGACGACTTTACAGGCTGTATCCAGTATCATTCTGTCATGTAGACACTCCAAACTCAAAAGTTCACGGCCTCCCTGTTGTCGAGGGAAGTACAACCGTGGAACGGACGATTTGAGATGCAAACTCCTATAGAGGTTCATCATTTTTCGGGTCTTCACGTCGAGTTGATACAGCTCCTCCCGAGTCCACTTCACTACTCCAAACGAGTAGAGTAAGACCGGCAAACATATTTGTTGCATCCTCCAGAGGCATAACATTTGAGATCATCCATATAAAACAAATGGGTGACCTTGTGCCCCCGGTTTCCGGGGGTGCCACAGTTATACCCTCGAGTATTTCTGAGCGCAACGGATAATGGCAATAGTGAGATGCAGAAGATAAGGGGACTGAGGGAATCACCCTGAAATACACCTCTTCTGAAAGTGACCCACCCTGTTTGGACTCTTGCTTGACCAGATGTTATGGTGAAGCTTGTTCGCCAAAGTGGTGTCAGTCGATCAATGCATCTCACTATTTTGTCGGGAACCGCAAGGCATCTGAGCAAATGCAAGATGAGATTATTATTATTGAAAGATTACGATTGAAGTCGGGTTTCCAAAACTTCATAGTAGAACCACATGTAAGGCTGGATTTTGAGGAAAGTTATTTACCTCCAAGATCAAATAAATTTCAAAATGTAGAGTTTTTCAAATTCGACTATCAATTAATACGCTTGGACTATTTTTTTCACTGTTTGACATTACTGAGGCAAATATCAATCATCCAAAAGAGCACAAAAATATAGACCAATTTTTCTTATTGCACTTACTGAATGTTCAAATGTACCATCTGCCCATGCAAGTCGGCTGCGGTCTGTAGACGCTTTCGTACTTGGAAACGCAGTGTTATCGTCTTCAAAAATCGTTCTTGTTGCAGATGGTTCAAACACTTCACCGATGCCACGGAAGCATATAACAAGCGGCAAGGAAAGTCTCTGGATCGCAAAGAGGAAGCAGCTACCGATTCGGAGTCCGAGAGCGTTCAGGATCTTCCTCCTTCCGAAGAGGTCTCCGAACGAGCCGAAGCAGTCGGAGGAGACGCGAACGAGAGTGCGTCTGCAACGACAGAAGACGGCGTCGATCGAACGTCCACCGAGGATAATAAGGAACCCATAGAGGAAGATAATACCGAAGAGGGTGAGAGGAATTCCGCCGAAACATCAGGTTTGTGGTTGATTTAGTTGATGAGTTTTTGGATGGTGTTGAAAGAGGTGCAGGTGTGGGAACAGAACAGGTTTTTCTTAATATTCGCTTTAAGGTCGTTTCAGCTGTTTTCATATGATTGTTTTTCAAATAAAATACAATATTGTTAACAAATACTCAAAGGTTATATTTCGAATACACAAGTAGTCGAATCAATGAAGTATTTTTCTCAGAACGGTTCCGATTTCGGTGATTTTTTTCAAGTTTTGGTTCTATTATACGTGGAAGGTCCTAGAAGTACCCGAAACGACGTCAATATCGATTTTTGCACTTCTTTCACTTGAAAAAAAATTTTTTATTTGAAAAATTCTACTGCAAAGGCTAAAACCGCCGTAAAAAGTCGATTCTGACCATCAAGCAACTTCAAGATCAAAATGACATTCTGACTATTTGTTAACAATTGTTTATTATTAGTCAGTGGACTATGCTTGAAGACTGGCAGTGAACAAATCTAAAGAAATCAACTTTAAATGTTCAAGCCCGTCTCGGATATACACACACAGTAAGTTGAATGGACTGACGCCTATCAGAAAACAACTACTCCACTGGCTAACACCACGAACGGCGTTGGATTATATCCGACAGGCGTTAAGTGCAGGAATCTCCACAGAAAATTTCCTGCATATGCAATTGGCAATACAACTGAAAGAGTCAACCTTCAATTTTGGAACGGGCACGCTTGCTGGCCGGTTTCGCGCTCCTTAGCCACTCCCCAGTGCAAGATAGTGATCATCATCGACCTAAAGTCAATGATACTCCATAATTGAAAATCTAAATTCTTTCAGAATATTTCATTTCCCGTCTTAAGTTGGAGCAACAAAAATGTCACTCCATCTAGTGGACGAGGTACTAACTGAATGCATATCCGAAATTTGCTCGATTACTGTTAATAAGGAAGAAAAACTTTCTTATTAGTCAGTTGGATATGCAGTTGGTTAGTACCTCGTCCACTAGATGGAGTGACATTTTTGTTGTTCGCTCCAACTTATGACGAGGAATGAAATACTCTGAAAGAATTTAGATTTTCACTTGTGGAATATCATTGACTTTAGGTCGATGATGGTCACTATCTTGCACTGATAAGTGGCTAATGAGCCTTAAACCGGTCTGCAAGTGTGCCCGTTCCAAAATTGAAAGTCGACTCTTTCAGTTGTGTTGCCAATTGCATATGCAGGAAATTTTCTGTGAAGATTCCTGCATTGACGCCTGTCGGATATAATCCAACGCCGTTCGTGGTATTAGCCAGTGGAGTAGTTGTTTTCTGATAGGCGTCAGTCAATTCAACCTACTGTGTAGGTATATCCTGGCTTGAACATTTAAAAATAATTTGGATTGATGACACTGGCGGGCCGGATTTGGCCCGCGGGCCGTAGTTTGGAGACCCCTGGTTTAGACGAACAAGCATCCTGTATTGAAAAGGAAACTTTTGGGGAGATATTAATTTTCACACATCTTTTTGACTCTACTTCCAAAGAATGTCAGCAAGCCTGGTTTTCACCTTCGGTCTATACCTTTGTTTGCAAAAAACTGTAACTGACTCGAGTCACTCTGTACGACCAATAACAACATAATCGATTCTGTTCCAATAATAGATAAAGCATTGTAAACTATAGATACCATACCATTGTACATAAAATAACTTTGGTGTGACTCAAGGTAGAATGTTATAAAACTCACGAATGATCATTAATGAGCTGATAATTGAGCACCAACCGTCGAAAAAATATTTCACAATCTTAAAAATAACTGTGAACAATTTGTGCCTGCTCGGTTCATTCGGGGGAATAACAAACAGTCGGGCGATTTTATTTTTGTGCAGGTTTCCAGAAGTATTATTGTATTCGACATATATATTTTGAAATGATTCTCAGTTGAAATTGAACGGCCGGTTGTTGAATATATATAAGAGTGTAAAAAGTATATACACACGGTTTTGTAAATATTGGTGGTAAGTTTTATTTGTAAACTGTTTCATCTCGTGACATACGTTACATAGGAAAAGGACTTGATTTGTGTTGTAAATGAATACTGTTCTTCCGTGATTTTTCGGTCGTACCACTTTATATATCTCTCCTTTGGTACTTGAGCATTTCATAGAAATATTTTTGAAGATAATTCATATTTTTGGGATTCTGAGAAAGAAAAAATAATTGCACTGTATTGTTATCTCAATGCTACTGAATTGAATTTGATATAATCTGACTCCTGTCAGATAAATTGAACAAGAAATCAAATCTCGTACTTTCAGATTTCATTATATATTTTCGTTCGATTCTAATATAATAATAACAATGTTTCATAAAAGTAACAGGTGTGTTTTATTAACTTTAAATTTATTCCATTTCCTATTTTTTTAAATTTCATATAAAATTTGAAATTAATAAAAATTGGGAAGAAATACAGGCAAAAACTGTAGCCTCAGAAAAACAGAACTTTTCTTGAACAAATCCTCGAGAGTTGAAGCTATCGTTGAAGTAAAAGAAGAAATGAAATCAGATTGCCATCTATTTCTTTACATATTTTTTTGTATCCCACCATTTCTTACAAATATAAGGTTGTTTTAAAAGTTTTGTAATATCTGTAATATTTACTGTAATATTTCAGTGAATGCTTGTTCACTTCAATCGAAATGAGCGTCATTTGAATCGGTGCACTTTTGCCAACGTAACACAAGTCAAATAATTCCGTCAGCATATAAATTGAGTGCTCTGGATTCGATGAAGTCGACGAATGCCGTTTTTTCCTGGTCCTGATTGGCGAAGGTTCTACCGGTGAGAAAGTTATCGAAGTGCTTGAAAAGATGGTGAAGGCTGGCGAAAGTTCTGGGTAGTATGATGGACGAGGCAGACTTGCGACCAGAGCCGGTTGCTGCTGACGCAATTATCGGTACTTTTCGTCGATTTCCTTACAATAGGACTCTGCTGTGATGGTTTGGCTCGGTTGTAGAAAGTTAAAGTAAATCCCACCAACCGCTGACCAACATACAGTATTCATGGTCTTTTTTTTTGGTGTGTTTCCGCCTTTGGGAAGCGCCTGGGAGGTTCAACAGTGTCCCACTACTGTCTTGAACGGCTCCTGTTGTCGTAGAGGATTCTCCTTTCATCACCCACAAAAAAGGATAGTTTTGGTTGCTCAAAAGCAAAGGAGAACCGACTCCGGATCGTGGCAATTTCTGTCAATCGTTCAAATCATAAGGCATCCCCTTTTCGAGCTTTTTGGCCCTTCCAATACGTTTTGGACCACTAAAAATCCCATGGAAGGTCCCAGTTTTTCCGCCATCCCACGCACCATTTGTCTCCACCAGTGTTGCCGAATCCTCGACCTGGATTACTGTAGGTCGACTACTTTAGGGCTGAAATCCCGAAATTTCACGCTTTGGTTCAATTTGAATCCGAAGAGAAAAATTGGCCTTGAATCGCTGAACGGTATCATGGCTGAAAAAGGGAATTTGGAAAGAAACGAACAGCATCATTGTTCAGTGTACAGAATTCTCTAGCAATCAGTATATACCAGGACACAGTAGAATAAATATTTATTGAGATATGTAGCTACAAAATCACATGACACTAATAGGGGCAAAACTTTTCAAACAACCTAATTTGAAATTTTGTTAAGTTGGTTATGGTTTATAGCACAGCACCAACATTTTTTTCAATAATTCAAGTTTATTGGGATTGGTATGTTTTCCTTTGATCAAGAACCTTATCACACTGTACTTATCAACAACTTGTAATGTCATCATATAGAAAATTAATGTCCCTAAGTAGGGAAAATCATACAATAATTTGGCCATGTTAACTAAAGCTAGACCTTTATATACAACGTATGTAGACCATCTGTGAAAGACATTTTCAGTAGAGGGGTCAATATTCTTCGTTGGTTTTTGAGTGTATATTCTTCCAAGATCTTGAGAATAAACAAAGCAATACCTGCCGAAATGTAATAAAGAGCAAACTGAAAAGTGTGCCCCGAAAAGTAAAGTTAATAGTGTGAAACCTGAAATTAGATAACCTAGCATGGGGTCTGAATGCCACTTCCACATTGTTTTTTCTGAAGAATTTTACAATTCTCTTGCCAAAATATATCCAAAAATACAAATTTCTTGATTTCTGATTGTTTGATCTGGAGGTTTATTAATCTATACGTAAATTTGAGGCTTTGTTTTTTGACTTACTTCTAGATAGTATATGTCCGGAGTGTAATAGTGTTTGTGGAACAATGTGGCCAAAATTTCTCAAAATGGTATGCTGAAACTTGAAAGGTCCTTCAGACTAAATAGAACGCAACCATAAGTTCCCGAATATAAACGATAGGAAAACTTTGCACTAGGCAAGCAAGGGTTGGAAACACAATTATTTGGAATCCTTGGAAGTTCACAAACATAAGCATTGCGGATGTGACCTACTAAATGCAGAATAGAGAGATCATTGGACAACAAAGAATCCACCCTGGGTATATTCATAGATATCGGGGGAGCGGTTGATAAAACAACCTTTCCTACAATTTCCCAGCAACTACACTCCAGGAATGTACCCCTGGTAGTAGGAGAATGGATACTCAAGATGCTCTCTAGTAGAGCAATAAGTATTAGTGTAGAAGACATCACAGTAAAAGGATTGGTCATGAGGGGATGTCCACAGGGAGGGGTCTTATCACCCCTTCTCTGGAACATAGTTCTGGATATCTTGAATAATCACCTCAACAAAAATGGATTCTACACAATTGCATACGCAGACGACATAGTTATCATGCAGACCGGCAAATTTGTGAACACACTGTGCGATAGAGCGCAGGATGGGCTCAAATTAATAGAAATATGGTCCAAGGAACACTCCCTGTCGATCAATCCCAAGAAGACTGAGACCGAAATCTTCAAAAGCAAACTAAACTTCTCTGAAGAAGTGAAATACCTTGGTACTATCCTCGACAGGAAGCTAACATGGAACTCTCATCTACAGAGTAAAGCAAAAAGAGCATATGTGGCTTATGAGCAATGTCTGAGGACAGTGGGACGTGCATAGGGTCTTTCACCCGTGTGGACTCCTGGATCTATACTGCAATAATAAGACCTATGTTAACGTATGCAGCATTGCATGAGGATCGAAAGTTGTACAAGCAACGGCCAACCAAAAATGATATCAAATACAGCGACTGGCTTGTTTAAACATCACAGGAGCCATGAGAACAACACCAACCGCGGCAATTGAATTAACTACGGGTCTGGCCCCTCTGGACCTGTACGTTAAGGAGGTTGCGTTAATGGCCATGGTATGATTGCGCACGGCTGGTGTAAACCTCGAAGTAGGAATGGGTCAATTGAGGCTAGGCCTATGGCGCAAAGCGCTTACAGCGCAACCTCTGCTGTAAGCAACCAGTGATGCAATTGAACCCAGGTTTGTGTTTAATAAACCCTACAAAATTCATAGTAAGCAGAACACAGAGTCAGATGCTACAAATGCAATACGCATATATACAGACGTCTCAAAAACCAAAGAAGGCTCAGGATGTGGAGTGTACTCCAGATCACTAAGCCTAAGAATTAAGTGGGAAATAATACCAGCGTGGTCCAAACAGAACTGGCTGGAATCTCAATACGCCACAAAAGAAATGACCAGGAAAGGAATTTCTGGCAAAAACATAGCAATCTGCACTGACAGCAGACAAGCTCTATTAGCCTTGAACAGACAACGTATAACCTCAGGGCTAGTACTAGAGTGTCACCAAGATTTAGCCAAAGCCTCCGTTGATAATAACATTATCCTGAGGTGGGTTGAAGGGCACGACAGGAGTAAAGGTAATCGCATTGCCGATTCCTGCCTACACCTGCCGATATAAAGGAGATGTCTCCCAGAGACTTGTCCACCTTCCTGGGAAGGACAGGATGGACAATGACCAAGGAGGACAACTCCTTGGGAGGATGTACAATGGGTCACAGCATAAGTGATGTGGGCTTACACTCACCCTTCCTACTCTACAGATACAGTGACCTACTGAATGACCAAATCAACCTAGTGTACTCGCCGGTTTTCAGATTAGAGTACCCACATTGTGATAGGGAAACAACATTCAGGTACTCAGTTACGGCCCGTCTGTTATTACCTACATGGGTGTATAGATTTACAAGGGTTAACATTTGTGATGCAATGTTTGGAACCTTTGGTGTAGTAATGAATATTATTGGAATTTTTCCCAACTCCACACCGTTATTTTAACACTTAGACACGTGTTTCGATCACCGAGAGGAAGATCAGTTTGATATTCCTCTAGAAGATGATCATACATCTTCCTCTTGAGGATGATCACTTGGTGATCGAAACACGTGTCGAGGTGTTGAAATAACGATTTGGTGTTGGGAAGAAACTCCAGTAATAGTCAGGGTTAACATTGTTGATTATTTCAATTTATTGTATCCTTCTAAAAACATAGAAAGTTTAATTTCTCAATTTTCATGATGATCAAAGTTGAATAAGGTTCCTCGGGTCACTTTTGGGTTAACATGGTCAGATATTGCATGGCTAACATTGAATTTGTAATTCATCACGGTTACATGCGAGGTAATGGTTTTTAGACATGGTCGCTGGTGGTGGTGTCCAAACGACGAAGGTGAGCGCGGAGGAATGGCCGCTGATCCAACCGTCGCAAGTCAGCGTCGCGGTGCCGCCCGTTCACATCGCTGAATCGATGCTCACGCCGCTAGGTACGCACATTCACTCGGCACTAGGTGCTAGCTTATCTGATACTAACTCTGACTCTGTAGTCGATGATTTGAATGGTAGGTACATTTATTAACAATTATATATTATGGTCGATGGATCTTTTTACATGTGTCATCAATTTGCGACTCTTGAATAAGCCGAAGTAGTAATGAAAATGAAACGACGTGGCTACGCTTCCAACAAAGTAACCTTTCAAAGAAACGCTTTTTTTTATTTATTCATTGCACGGGATCGCTCCCGTGGTCATACAATTTTCGATGCCATTTTTATAGTACGATTCGTCTTTAGCCTCAAAATAGGCCTCAGTTTCGACGATTACCTCGTCATTGGTGCTAAATTTCTCTTCAGTGAGGCCAGATATGGAGAATACCGTAGATGCGAAAGCAAAGCAAAATCATGCAACGGGGAATGTTCCTCCTGGCGAAAATCAAGTAGTTTTCATAAAAGAGCTCTAAAACAACGCATTTTAAACTTATCATTTCAACCTTTTTCTTTAAAAAATTATTTGAATTCTTAAAAAAGAGAAATGAAATAATGCATTCAACATTTAAAGGGATTCGTTTCTATTTCACCATTTGGCAACATCGGTTATATCTAATAAAGGACAGTGAATCTGTTACCTGTATGAGACAAACAGAAATGACATATTTCAGAGGCGTGTGTTCTGTTTACTTATGTTCCGAGTTCCGAGACATTCTGTGACATATGACATTTTGTGCACCTAACCTATCTTCCTCTTTATAAATAAATAACAAAACAACTGTTGTTTATGTGGCTTGTGGAGGTGGTATTGATTTATACTTCGTATTTTGCCTTAATTGTTGATTTACAAAGATAATTTTCCTTCTTCAAAGTAGAATATCTAGGTACGTATGAATTATTTCAACTTGATATAGGCGCTGTCGCCAATATGTGAATTAGAAACAAATCCCTTTAAAAATTAAAACCCAACATTTGAAACATCAATTTGAATACTTTTCGAAGTGAATTTGAAAAACTCATGAATGAAACTCAACTTTATTTTGTTCAAACTTGTATTTGCTGTAATAACCCAAATTGAGGAACATTCCCCATTTTGCCATCGTTTATTAGTATGTGTTTTATCGCGTAAGATATTGACGACACATTTGAAAAGATTCATAGCCCCAAGTACAGTTATTTCGCTGGGGAGCCGCTTTGTGCCGTCTGCGTCGTCGTTTTCACTCCAGGCAAGTAATGGAATATGTCAGAGAAATCTCCAAACCTACATTTCTATGTTTTTACATTTCTCATTTTAGAAACCAGGGCCTCAAAAAATACAGTATACTTGTGTCGAAGCAGCTTTCTGGGTTTGTTTTCCGTGTTCTGCAGCTTTTCACACGTCTGGCATTTCGTCTACAACTGCGGTAATGTGTTGGAAGCAACGGACGTTGTACATTGTTCGGGGTTTGGGTCACCGGTTTTATTTCATTAGTAGTAGGAGTAGCTTGATTTTTATCAGTTTGAGCAGTTTAGTAATTGTTCTGAGGACAATTAGAACACTGCGCCTGCTGCTTCTTCGCCAGTGGTATTATCTATTGTCTAGAGAGAGCCGTAGACGAATTGTTAGGCATAAAAATCTGCAGTGTACGGCTCAAAACCAAAGAAATTGCTTCGGCACAGTTTTCTTTGGTGGTGGAAGTTTACATTTTGTGATCAATACAATTTAATGTCTCAGCAGGTCAACATTAACAAAGAACTTGAACCTATTGTCTTGAATTGTACTTTGAACAAAATTTCGCCAATCAAGAAAGATTTTTGTTTTTGTCTTTTTTCAATTCGTTCGGCACACTGTTTAGTATTTGAGTTTGCTCTAGTTTTACAAAAATAGCTTGAATGGCTTTTCAATAACAATTAGTGAATATTAATATCCTCAATAAATTATAATCAACTTTATCACCTTTTAGTTTTCGTTCCATCGAGCGAGTTAAAGCAGGTCTAAACAAAGACTACTTTGAAGGAATAGAAATTGATGAATGAATAAAAGGTTTTAAGAAAACTTAAAATTCACGTTATTTTTTTAACGGACCTTCTCCATGATTTTGTGAACATATCTGTGAATGCCTACTTTTTCTGTACAAATTGACCGGTCACGAATCTATACTGTATAAAAACTAAGTCATGAGAGAAATTTGATTACAAGCCATTTTTTTTTTGTTTTCTTCCAACCACCAGTGGTCAATATTTTTGAAATTTGTGTTGCCTATATATGCAATCTTTTTTGAAACTCTGATAATGAATTATCAAACTCGACTTTTATAAATTTCATAGCTGAGTACGCCCCTGACTAGTACCACATCAACTGAATCATTTTCAGAATTCCAAGGCACTTATTTCTAGTTTTTACATCAGGATGAGTGTCGTATCATTTTTTGCAAGTTAACAAAAATAGCTTGTTTCTTGACAGATGATTGGTTCAGTATGTGTACAGTTTGACATTTTTTGATGATTGATAACGTTTGTAAACTTTTTTCTCAACATTAACTATTTTGTTTTGAAAGTACATACTCAGTTCGCTAAAATGGAATCTTACATTATTCCAACAGGTAGATTTTTGTACCTATAACCAGGTTCTTTCACAAATACTTGTTTGATCTATTTCATCACGTTTTTACATTTTTTCAGTTTTGTAAACAAAAATTCTTATTCCCGCATTATTTCACATGCACCATTTTGCAATGAACCTTTTGTCGATTTTCATTTTTTTGCAATTGAATTTTGTTCATATCAAAAACACTTTGTGGTAATTTTTTCATCGAGTTGTCAGAGATTTTCATAAAGTATTGAAAAAACCATCGATAATTCTTATTCTACTTTTTTTACTTTCATGAAAATTGTATAGATTTATCAAACCAAATCAAACTACTGTCACTATAGAGTTTTTGGAGATTTGTCTGATGTTGCTTGGCACAAATGTTGCTGTTTAATGTATAATGTTAAGATTTGTGACGTCATAATATGGACTGGCCATTGAAGAGAAAACTTTGACTCCAACAACTGAAAGAAGATGAAGAGTTTCACGTCTTGGCATTTACGTCACTCATACACAACGCCTGATACGTTGCGATGTTTTGTGTGTTGCATATTTCCATTGTGAAAATTTCAGGAATTGATTTGTCACATTGTACTGGCCAAGCCGTGGAGTTTATGTGAGTGACGTCACGGCCAGTCCATATTATCATGTCTATGGTTAAGATAAAAATGTATTGTAAGTAGTAACGTGGGAGAAATGTTGAACTTGACTAAAATTTGAATGAATGTATCTAGATTTGTATAAAAAAGACAGAAAGTAGATCACGAAAGAGATTTCTGTGACACCGGAAATTCAACTAACAGAACCAATGAAGAACGTAAAACTCTGAACGGCCTACGTAGAAATATGGAGTATAACGGGGTGCGTCATAAATTACTTTCATTTGAACATGTCTATATATGCGTAACCGCCACATACTTGACCAACTGCGCTTAGCGAAACTGATACATAGTTCGCCAAACCAAGTCAGACTTGTTCAAATGAAAATAATTCATGACGCACCCCTGTATACTCCACCATTTCTACGTAGGCCGTTTAGAGGTTTATATTCTTCATGCTTCTGTTAGTTGAATTACTGGTGTCACAGAAATCTCTTTGGTGATCTACAAGAGAAAGAATATATATTCTGTTTATATATAATTTCAATTAACTTGTGTAATTTTCTAAATTTTGGTCAATTCGTGACTGAACCGCAAAATTAATACTTGGCACCATTAGTAGGAAGAAATTCTGTGAAAAGGAATTCACACAAAAACAGAGATGCCAACAATTAAAAATAAAACTTGGCTATCACTTGACCATAATTGAATACAGTCAATTGCTTTTTTAAGTTAGATAGAAAGTAAAAAAAAAATAATATGTGTTGATTAACAATGATCAGCTGGTGTTTCTAGTATCTCAAACTTATTACTTACATAAGACCTTCGAAATTCTAATCCAGTAGAAGTTACTGCTTTTTCTGTTGAAATTGGTCATTATAAAACAATCAATTGCATCAAATTAGAACTATTCGTTTCGGTAAATCCGATTGGTATATATATTTTTCTCTTGATTACGGTCAACATCTTCCTTATGAAACAGGCTTTACCTGTAAAGTATTTTGAATAATTGTATTTTTTCCCTTGCTGTAAACGTTGTATGTTTCTTTGGAAAATATGTTTATTGTATAAGTTTGAAAATGTCCTTATAGGACGTTATTGCAGTAACGTTAGTTACAAATAAAAGTGGTAAAAAACATAGACATATTCAAATATCTTTATCATTAAGTAGAGATGGTGGAATCAACTCATGTGAATGTTTATTATCATGATGATGTTGGTAGTTTACTCTTCTGGAAAACTAATCTTTGTTATGTTTTTCAATAAAGAACAAATTCGAAGAAAAGACGCCTTGGTCAAGCAGGCGTTAGAAGACAAAGAAGGCATCGTAGCGGACCTGCTGAGTATACCTCGAGAACATTTTCAGCATATCGCTGACATGGCCTCCATGGACACTTCTACTAGCAAAGACATCTCGGGGCAAGTCCTAGCCTCAATTTACCAGGTTCACCAGTTGCAGAAAGCTGTGAACGAATCGACGAATATCACCGAATTGGATGCCATGGCCGCGAAAGGTGGAAGGTTTCCTTCGTGCGCGAGTCAAGAAGACGGAGAAGCGTGTCCCTCCATTCCGCTTACTGTACCGTCCGGCTTGGTGAGAGACATAGCCGGATCTCTTAATTTACAGCTCACAACCCTTTTGGTAAGTTATAAATAATATTAAATATGTGTGTCTTAAGTACTTGAACGGACTTATACGAACGGACAATATGCGAAATAAAAAAAAATTCAGTCGAATCAGACGGAAATTTCAATGGAAATTGAAATGAATAAATGAGTTGATTTTTGTATTATAACGGGTGAATAAAACACGTTATATAAGTTCTAATAATTACACTAGCCTAATATTATATTATAATGGCTATACATGAGAGTTTGTAGCATCCTGACTGCAACTTCAACATCAAAAATTGTCCATCTAGTAAAGATTTTGAGCTATAGTTATTTCTATTTTATACAACAATTTTGAGATATAGGGAAATACAAGATCAAAACAAGAAAAAAACAATATATTTTGAGGATAACATTCAAATGAAGTCTTTTGTGCATAACCTTTTTGCAAATGTTGACTTTCATTTATATGTTTTATCGTTTTCCCTCATAAGGAACCAACAATAATCCCCCATCATTGCTGCATCCCATCTGCCTTGGTAATGTTGCTCCATTTTCAGTATGTCTTGGTGGAACCTTTCCCCTTGTTCGTCACTGACAGCACCCAAATTTTCTGATAAAAAATTCAAATGGGAGTGCAAGAGATGGATTTTGAAAGACATGCGACATCCCATTCTGCAGTAGTTTTCAAGTAGTTCTGTACAAGTGTTTCGTAATTTTCTACTTTCTTGTTCCCTAAAAACTCCAAAACAATTATTTTGAAAGAACTCCACGCAGCTAATTCAACATTACTTGATTTTTGATCAAACTGTTTATCACTTAGTAGTTTTATAATTTGTGGTCCAACAAATATACTTTCCTTGAGCTTTACATCACTTACTTTTGGAAAAACGTGTTTAAGATGTTTAAACGCATCATCTTCTTTGTCTAATGCTTTTACAAAATTTTTCATTAACCCCAGTTTAATGTGTAATGGAGGTAACAAAACGTTTTTAGGATTAACATCTTCCTTTCTTTGGAAGATTCCCTCATCCTTATTTTGTATCAAGATGGAGTAGTAGAAAGCCATAAACTTTATTTCCCAAAAATCAACCATTCCTAAAAATATAACCCCTTCAATACAATAGGTATATTCTTCACTTCGTAAATCCGCCCTGAAGACCTAGTAATAGTCCTATGACTTTTAGGTCACCACATATTTGCCACTTATACGTATTATAACTTATTGCATTTAGAATAAGTGACATACTTTCGTGTGTTTCCTTCATGGCAACTGCATGAGCAAGAGGAATAGAGGGTCTTTTGTTACCATTATGAAGCAAAACGGCAACCATTTGGATTTACACAAACACACATTCTATCCTGCATAGTAAAAAACGAGGATAGCTCATGGTTACGGTTCCTAAGTAACTTTGGTTTTAGAGGCTAATACATTCCATTGTTGTAATCTAGACCCTAATAGTTCAGCATTCTCTTTGGACAAGTGGAGGTCCCGAACTAGATCATTTAATTCAGGTTGTTTGAGTAAACTGGGTGTTCCTCCTTCACTCTCGGGAAAATAAGGACCGTCTTTTTCTGCGTTTACAGGAGTCAACTTATTTTATTCACAAAGATAAAACTAATATAATTCGCGAATAATATTCGCGTGTTTGCTCCTTCGCTGCTCTAATACTAACTCACCACTACTTGCGTCAAACCAATATTGATGATCCGATTGTCAGTCTGCTACTTTTATAGCGGTTCCGTATTTCTGGTATTTTCTGGAAACTTCGACTATCGGAAGTTGGAGAAGCGGCGTTACAAGTCTCATATACAGCGGAAGCAGATTCGAATACTGGGCAGAGCCGCTGTGTTGCCAGGTTTTAAACAATTTTCTCAATTTGGGGGAAAAGCAAAAATTAACAAAGAATTGCTTTTGGCACTACAGTCGTGAATTGGCTGTAAACTAGTGTTATTATTCATCAAATAAAACAAGCATCTTAGATGGCCCATTTTGCCAATTTGCTTTGCTCTGTTCATTTCAGTGGTATTGAATCTAACAACTACATTTTTTATGTTAATGTTCTTTATAAAGTCTAACGGGACAAACTGGCAATAAATTGCTGAACGTCGACCATTTGTAACCTTCTTAAAGTCTACCCCTATAAATTTAGCTATAGAAGGACAAACCATCCTATCAATTTCGTGTTTCTTCTAACAATAGACATTTATTGAGAAAGGCGAGCAAAATGCTTATACCACGAATCCTCTATAACGGAATATAATTTCGTCTTTCTTCTATTGATAGACGTTTAATGAAGAGCATATGCAAAATGTTTATACCACGAGTCCCCTATAACGAAACATAATTTCGTGTTTCTTCAAACAATATCCATTTGTGGTGATCGCCGAAAAAAGGTACCTATCTATATAGTGTACAAAAAAAACAAGTTTTCGAGAAAAACGCGTTTGAAGTTTCGCAGTGTATTACTACTATGTACACGCCTTTATGGGGTGTAAGATCTTGATATCATTGGTCTGGGTATCTATGAAGTCATTTCTTCAATCTGCGATGTTTATTTTCGTTGTAGTTTGGCGGTAGCTTGAGTTATCGAGTCTGCGATTGAGCTACAATGCTGCTGATTGAAATAACCTTTTTGTTTCTGGGTTTTCTATCTTATCACCACAAATTTTCTCTTTCAGTTTCGTAATTTTCGTGAGAATTTCATCGTGAATTATTAATTGTTATAAATTCTATTTGATTAAAATGAAAGCGTTTTTTCTAACAATTGACATTTGATGACGAGCGTGAGCAAAATGGTCATACCACCAGTCCTCTATAATAAAACATGTTTTTTTTGTTACAGAGCGAAGTAAAACAGGTAGAGGAAGAGAGAGATAGGCTAAGAAAAGAGTTGAACAGAATGAGAGAAATGTTACACGAAGAACATAATCTCCATAGTGCAGTTCCAGTTGATGACGAGAATCTGATAACGACAGAGTGTGCCTCAGATTGAACTACCCTCTACCATAGTGTACAGGTATGCATTGCTTTGATTTTTCTCAGATATCGTTAGAAGTTTCTTTTTCAAAAGGTCGAGAAAAAATGATAGTGATTCTGTCCACACATTGTAGAACTTTTATCTGATATTGTATATCGGTATTTGATAATAATCCTCAGTTCGTGTCACATTTTCTTGATCTACATTTATTACCTCATTGAAAAACTGACTTTCAAATTGGGCTCTGTTTCTAGTTTTTTTTTTTAAATGTGTCAGTATTTCAATTATATATTCTTTACCGAGACTTCGAGATGGTACAGGTAATGTATTTTGTCTGCGGGAATTAATTTAACAGGATGTTGTATGGGAGAGTCTCACCATTATACAAATAAGTCTTCTTTGACTCACAAATTTTTCGAAGCATAGTCACGGAATACCTTACAAAAGAAAGACTCAGCGTGGAATAAGAACTTTTTTGACAGATGACAATCTCGAGGTGATGGCTTGGGCAACATAAAAATTTCGTGGAGTCGTTAGTGAACATGAACATAGTAAAATAAAATTAATTTGGTTGAAATGTTGGTTTAACAACCGATGAGATGACATCGTGATAATTTCTTGATTGCAATAAAATTATGTCAGATTTATCGCAAAAAAATGACAATATTAACACAGAATATAGGTTACAGCTGAATATTGAGAGGGAGGTAATCATCTAGAAACAATTCATTCAGGTCAGTACGACCTCACCTACAAGGTAGGTTATTGAACTGAACATATAAGAAAATAACTACTCCCCTGGTTGAAACTACGAAGGGCGTTGTTTTCTGATAGGTATCAGTTCATTAACCTACAGTGTAGGAGAGTTGAGGCTGATCTGAACGAATTGTTCATTTAGATAATTTGATTTACAGCCAGTTTTCAAGTATGCCCCGTATTATATATGAAGAAAAAACTAGGAAGGAATTAGCATCCTACCATAAATTCCAAAACTTTTTTTGTTATCTATTTACAAAAACAGCTAGAGAATTTAGGAACAAATTCTGTAATGAAAAGGTTGAATTTACCAAGAATAAATTACCAACAACCAACCTTATAATTCAACAATTTATCGAAATCATTGTATTGTTACTATTTTATATCTATTTTAGTTCGAAAGACTTGGTAACTCATCTATCAAGAGGTCCAATAACAGTAGGACAAGGACAAAAAATTACAAGTATAAAATCTATAGGTGGCGAATCTAGAGGGTATGATGATGTAATTCATTTAAAATTCGGGTTAATTCATGGAGCTACTCTAGACGCCTGCTGCATGGATTGTCTTCTAGTGATGTTTTGCCATCATCAAAATGATTTATCCGTAAATAACATGTGCTTTCAGATTCTGTATACTTCCCAAATATCACTCGAAACCTTGAATACTTTTAGAAGGCTTCACCTCTTCTCTATACAAAAAAAAGTATCTGCTCTCTGTGATTTAGTAGCATCTTCCATGCTTGTGAATACAGAAACAGAATAGAAAATAAATACTTCTATAACAGTAAAGAAACAAAAAAAGTAAATTTGATAACATTGATCAAAATTGCTATTTGAAGAAGAATTTTGTCTGCGAAGTATAGTGATGGAGTTGCATTCCTAAAACTTTTGAAACAACCCCAGTATATTCAATTTCTTTAACAATACTTTGTTTTTCTAGTGTGTTGAAGGTATATTCTAGGTTTGTTTTACAGGTTTTTACGTCTCATTGCTAACAAGAGCGATGAGGTGATAATCATATTTTCCCTTGCAGCTCATACTATATCGTTCAGGTTTCTATCTCCTGTTACATTCGATCAGTGGTAGAAGCGACTTTGTTTTTTTTTTAGGTAGCAGGACTTTATTTATGCGGATTCCTTCTTACTTTTGATTGAATATCTTTTGCCTCCCTATACATTCATTGGTTTTCCAGAGAATCTTTAGCAATACCAGGAGTATACCATATTCCTGGTAGCTGCAGGAAAGAAAGAGGGAATTAACATAAATAAGGTCTGGTTACCTGCACTAAACAGAGCTACCATACAAGCTTATATAAAAAGACAATGGAAATTCATAAAACGGCAATTTAAAAGGAAAGACAGAGGGAAGTAACATAAATAGGTATGGTTAACTGCACTAAACTGTACATGAACCTGGCCAATGGGCTTGTTTCATGCTATCGGAAATGATACTGGTTTGCTTATAGACTCATCGATCCCAATACCTCTTTATATTTGCAGAAAAAAGAAAAATTCGAGAGGCAAGAGTTTAAATTGGCTGCTTGTCTACAGCGGTGTTGCCAAGTGCCAATTATTTTTTAACAAAAATACGAAGTTATGAAACATTAGAAAGAGTACATTGTCTCATACATTCAAGAGAGAGCTGACTGGGTGGCAATACGGCTAATATATAACATTGAGTCTCTTATTTTTGGTGGGTGGCATGAATGCATAAGTGATTTATTTTATTAGGGTTCATGAGCCTTCGAGAACCATTTAAAAATATAGCTTAGTCGATTGATGGTAAGAGAGGAATCATCAAGGCTCTACTAGACCGTGCTTTTGGGCTCTGTAATACAAAGGAAGCTCTCGGAAAGGAACTAGGCATCATCAAAAATGACCTACAACGGAATGGTTACTCCAGAGTGATGGTAGAACAGGCCATAGCTAGAAGACAGCAAGAACTCCACAAGGAAGAGAAGCTATACTTCCCGATACTTGTACTTCTCTACATCAGAGGATTATTGGAAAGGATGAGAAGGATTGGGTCCAAGTACAACATCAGGACCTGCTTCAGATCTGGGAATACTATCGGTAGCAGCCTTACAAAAACCAGGCCACCAAACACGGACTGCGATTCCAAGAATTGCATTTACCGGGTACCCTGCGAGTGCGGATAATCATACATCGGTGAAACTAAGAGGCCATTGAAAGTTCGCATTGCTGAGCACAAGAAACACACACAGCGAGGAGAAACCAGCAAATCCGGAATAGCAGAGCATGTTTGGACTCATCAACATAACATCAAGTGGGCTCAAGCTGAAATCATCCACAAAGAGGAACACTGGTTAAGGAGATAATTCAAAGAAGCCGCGTATATGTTGTCCAACAACGCATTTAGTCAATAGGGTTTTCAAATCAATTTATATTATATTAGACAATGGAAGTCCGAACTGATGAAATACACCACGAAACATTGTCAACCACCTTCAAACAAACGTTAACGGGTTCATATACACTTCCGTTATTAAAATTTCTGTGATATCAACATGAAAATGTCTACCGCCGGAGATATTTAAAAAATAACGTTTTTATTGCGTATTGTATTATTTGGATCCCATGTATATGCACTTGCTTCCTAGATTTAATTGTCGGAAGTGATTTTACTTTGAATCACGAATGAATCAGAAACTGTTTATACGCTCCGTCAATTTTACAATTGGGCAATGTTCATTATTTGTATTGTTTCTATTGGTCAATCGAACAAGAAGCAGACTAGGCCCGTGACGTCACGGGCCTAGTCCCGTAATTAATTACGGGAAAACAACGCTATTTAGAGATCCGAAACAAAGTGCACAATTTTTCAATTTGAAATTACTCCGAAATGAACTGTAAACCAAAAATCATGAAACAATTCCATCAATGTATTAGGTACTATAAGGAGTTCAGATGTTCATATGTTCATATGGCTTTAGCTAACAAATATCATTCTGTTTCAGGTTGTCCCGAACAGTGATTGAACACAGAAGTCCCAGATTGAATAATCTGCTTGACAATTACAAATTGTAAGATGTTACATAGGTAATCAAAAGTGTAAATTATAACATAATGAGCTTAGAATTGAAATAGTCGTATTTATATATTATTTTTCTAACGAACAAGGGAAGATGTGACTTTACACACGAGTTTCCTTGAATTTACGACTTCAAAGGGGCAGCTTTACGCATCGCTCGATCTGCCGTCTTTGTCGAGATGTTGACGTTGTTCCAAAGGAAGTGTTGAAGGCTAGTCGGTCGGGCGGAAGGTGACCCCTAGGTAGACGCAATAATTTCTACAAGAAGTCAGTGCAATAATGCTTGCATAGTTGTTCATTATTTTTAGTCGTTAGAGGCTTCCCCTAGGGACAGTACTTTGTATTTATATGTATATAATGTAGTATATAGGTTCATTATTGTTACATAATTACTTATTACTACCGTATTCTTATTTATAATCTTGTCCCCTATTACCTGATAATAGTATTCTATTTATTTGTTATGAATTTGTGTTTTTTATTGAGCTCCGTGTATTTTTAAATAGTGTTTTATTGTCTCTAGAGAACATAGCGAATAACATACCAGTGTTGAATTGTTTAGAACGCAAGTGCCTTTCGACAGTCCCCCGTTGTTGTTGTTCATAACGCTTTTGTATACAGCTTTACAAATGTAATCTTTGTCACACTTTGAAAAAAAGCCCCCTCTGAAACCACCTGGCATTTAATATACATAGATGTAAATTATTTTACTTACTTTTCTAATTCCCTTTATTTATCAGCGAATTATAAATAATGAATGACACAGCATACAATTGTTATTATGTATTTATACGATCAAGAAGTAACAGTACTATTATTGAATAAAATTATTAAAACACTATTTTTTGTTATTTCATGTGTTCCAAGTGCCTTGAATAATTCCAACTAGCTTGAGAAACAAACTTGATAATTTAGTTCATTTGTTAGATTGTCACCATAAAAAAATATCCAAAAAACATACTTTAATGTGAGATTTCTACTTGAAAGTTTAGAAAACTTCAGAAGCATTGCTATGAATTTTATATTAAGAAAATCGAAAATGCTATTCCAAATGATTCTCGAAGCTTTTGGAAATATATAAACAAGCAAATAATTAATAAACAGCGCGGAAAAAGCAATAATGTCAACAAAAATAACATATTACCTGACGATTTTGCCAGCTTTTTTAATGACTATGTAAATAATTTGATGAAAACTATAACAAACTTCAATCACAGTCATCTTGAAATTTTAATCATGAAAATTCCTCTCAATACTTCAACCTTTTGGTTGCATCCCACTGATGATATGGAAATTCTGAGAATTGTCACCAACTTGAAAAATTCAAAAGCTGCTGACATTTATGGATTGCATGCCACTGCTATAAAACTAGTAATTAAGGACATCGCAGCACCTTTGGCTAACCTTTTCAATGAGTGTATGTGTCAGGGAATATTTCCCGACGCTTTCAAAATATCTAAGGTGACCCCTTTGCATAAAAAGGGTGATATTAATAACCTTCCTGATAATTATCGACCAATTTCTATCATTCCGCTAATTGGTAAAATATTTGAACTAATTCTTATGGAAAGGTTACTCCAATTTTTCGAGTCAAATAGGCTACTGTGTAATGCGCAATTTGGCTATAGACCTAACTGGTCTACTGTATTGGCTCTATGTGAATTTTATGAAGTTGTTGTGGATGCCTTTGAGAGTCGTCAGTTTTGTGAGGCGAGGCTTTACGACCTGTCAAGGGCATTTGATACGATACGACATGATTTCTTGCTATTAAAATTGGAAAGATATGGGGTTAAAGGCGTGGCTTTGAAGCTTTTTTAGTCATATTTGGAGGAACGAAAGTATTTTGTGAGTGTCTCCGGTCGGAGATCTGCTGAGTACCCAGTTATATTTGGTGTCCCACAGGGCTCCGTTTTAGGACCCTTGCTATTTATTATATATTTCAATGATTTATATATGAGTATTAACTCTGATGTGTCTTCCATTTTTATGCAGATGACTCCACACTCGTTGTGAAAAATTCAAATAAAAGCAGTGCTTTACAGACCCTTGATTGTTCAGAACAGAATGGTAAAGTTTGGTTTCGATGTAATTTCCTTTTCTTAAATGAAAGTAAAACGCAGCATCTCAGCAATAAGTGTATTATATCTAAGAGACATTATATTGAAGGAAAGAAAATGGAAATTGTTTGAGAAAGATTGAAATTAACTTTTTTTTTCTGAACAGACAGCGTACTTTTTTTTTATTTCAAAAATAACCGCATCAACCGCGAAGGGTTATTAGCGGAGATCACTGGGAAGTCTTGCTTCTTGTCTTTCATATTCAAAAACTGGGCACTCCAGGATAATGTGTTTCACATTGTTGATTATACCACAAATATCACTCTGCAGCAAATTCATTCTTCATAAGGTGGTGGTGTGTTTGTCTTGTGTGTCCGATTCTGAGACGAGTAAGAATCTTCGTTGGGCCGATTGGTAGTTCTGGAAGCGCCTGTCGGGATTTATCTCACGTGATTTATTTGATTCCATGGCCGTCCATCTTTCTTTCTAAGTGTTTGCTATTAGTTTCTTTATGAAATTAAAGTAATCTGAGTGGGAAATTTGTTGAAACAGTGCTGCGGAAGGAGTAACTGTAACATTGCGAGCGACTGCATCGGCTTTTTCATTGCCTCTGATTCCAGTTTGGGAAGGTATCCAGATTAGTTTAATACAGTTTTGATTCTGCATTAGCTTGGATATCCTTTCCTTTATACGGACAAGCAGTGAATTGTTTGGGTATAACTGTCTGATTCCATGGCGCTGAGAGAATCGGTGATAGTAACAGAGTTGCCTTCCAGTCTTTCACAGTGTGTTACGGCTTGATCTATGCCGTATAATTCACCTGTATAAACACTATAGATTGACGGCAGACGGTAGGCAAGCTCCGTATCTCTTGTAATGAGGGCTGCTCCCACACAATCAGAAGATTTCGAAGCATCTGTGTATAAGTGATTGTATTCCTTGTAGTTGGAGATTATTTCGTAGAAAGTTTTTTGGATAAAACTTGGTGTTATATCATTTTTCCTGTGGGTGGAGAGTTGGGTGTTACAGGATGGGATCTTTATGGTTCATGGTGGTGGAGAGCATAAACTAAGTGACATGACATTATTAGAGACTACAGGATTATTAGGAGTGTTTGACAGTTTTGCGTAGAGTGGTGAATCACCGTTATTACTTTGATTGAACAGAAGGGGAAATCAGTTACTGAAGGTATAGTGATAAGCGGGGTTGTTTTTATTATCAGAAATTCTTGCAGTATACGTCATGGTCATGTATTCACGGCGAAGACCGAGAGGCTGTTCTCCTGCTTCGATAAGTAAACTTTCCACTGGACTACTACGATATGCTCCTCAGGCTATCCTAATGGCGGTATGTTGAATGACATCCAGCTATTTAAGAGCTGACTTATTTGCAGTAGAGTAGGCAATACATCCATAGTCTATTTTAGATCTTATTAGCGCCCGATATATGGTTAATACAGTATTGCAGTCCGCTGCCCAGTGTAATTTGACAAGACCTCCATTAGGTTCAAACCATTTTGACAAGATTTCTTAACATTGCAAATATGGGCGTTCCAATTCAGTTTGTAGTCTAACGTCATCCCAAGAAACTTTGTTTCCTCAACGAATTCTAACTGCTGTCTATTAAGCGTAAAGTTTGCGAAATTAGCTGCTTGCTGTTTGGAAAATAGGAGGCATTTGGTCTTCGCTGGTGAAAATTGGAAACCTGTATTGAGGGACCATAATTCCAGACTTGATATTCCTCCTGAAGAAGTGACTCCAATGTTTTTATATGTCTGCCACTGACAAATAGGACTAGGTCATCCGCGTATAGCAGCCCCTTGACTGGGGATTTGATATTCTTCAAGATGTCGTTGATGGCTATGAGGAAGAAGAAGGTGCCGCTGAGTGATGATCCCTGACGGGTTCCGTTTTTGAGGTACTTTTTCTCAGATTCTATGTCATTAGCTCTCACAGAAAAGGATCTATTTTTCAAAAAAATTCCTATAAAAGCAAGTAGATTTCCTTGGATATGTCACTTTTTCATCTGTTCCAATACGTTGCGATTCCAAACTGTATTGAATGTTCGACGAATATCGAAAAAGATGACTATAACCTTGTGTCGATTTGCGAAGGACTCGTGTATGGCTGACTGTAGGATAACCAGATTGTTTGTTGTTGTTGCGAATTCCACTTTGTTGGGGAATTATCAGGTTATGTTGCTCGAGAAAAAACTGTAGTCTAGCGTTCAAAATCTTCTCCAATACCTTACACATGGTAGATATAAGGGAAATAGGTCTATGTAAGTCGGGATCAGATGGAGATTCATTCTGTTTCAGAAGAGGCAGTACAATAGAATTAGACCAAGATGTGGTCTTTACATTGTAGTAATTATAGACACAGATTAAAATATAAATGTGGTTCCAATGACGGACATAGATTGTCGAATGAGAAATCGAATTGTTTTTCTGTACAGCTTTCACTGAAAACGGGTGAGTTGGAGTTATCAAAGCGGTATGAGAATGAGAAAAATAAGTAACATAAGTTAGGGAAACGCAACATCTGTATAACATTCAACATCTCTTTCTAAAGTACACAACATATACATAACCAATTGTGATTTGATGAGTTTATTGATATGATAGACATAATCATTTCAGAAATATTCGAGAAGAGTTTGATTTTGTGAACATCTTTCAAGTGAGGGCTCGTATTTTTGAAAGTTGCTGACAAAACCACCAATATCGTTAAATTAAAATAAAAATATACATGAACATATAACATATACTTAACGCTAGTTTTTCTAGGTTCTCAACATGTACCTAGTAAATAATTGTTTATGTACAAAACAGTTCAAGAACGGCATAATAAATAAATATATACATCGTATAAAATAACATTGATATCAAGTCCATAGTTAAGCGTCATATTTTCCAATTGAGTTCTGTGGCAGAATTACAAAACGGTTTCGTTCGTGCAAGTTCTAGGCCCGTTGACTATAGAATATCTCGAAGATCCATTTCTAGCATTGGCTCCGGGTTTCACAAAAAGCTCTTTGAATGTTTCTCTGAACTGTCTGGACATGCCGCAGTAGATAGCAAAGTTTATCGGGTAGCTCAAGATAATGAAAAAATTAGTGAATAATGTCAGAGAGTTAGCCATCTCGTAGTTGAGGAATTCAATATAGATGTTCGAAATGACGTGTAGACTCGTTACCACTGCCAGAGGGATTTCTACGATCAGAAATACTGTCACTACGACAATGAGCATGAGGGTGGTGCAGTTTGAATCTCTCAACTTTTTGCACTCGGTTTTTTGATTCTTTTTCGCGGAGAGTAACATGTCTCGCCGCTTCTGAGCTTGCTTCAAGGCTCTGAATAGCAACAAATTTAGAATAACTAGGGTTATGCACGGCAGAAGGTGGACGAATAGTATCCTAAATAAAAAGTAGGTTACGAAGTATCCATCTTCAGTGATGTAGTCCTTCACCCAGTAAGCTATTTCTCTCGTACACACCGGAACGGTTTTGTTGTGCCAAACGATTTCAATCTGAAAAAAAAACAAGAAAAATTTCAGCTTTTGTCAATGTCATTGAGAAACTATTTTTGTCGGACTTATGCGAAAATGCAAAGGTAGGTGAAATGAGTGACATTTGACAGTTTGGTTTGGTCTTCCTCAGTTTGAAGAAACTCTACAATCGCTTTTCCAAGCAATATACATTGATGGATGTAGGAAATCATAATGAATAAAAGAGAATTGAAACTTTCTATGATTATTACCACTTTTATTTGTAACTAACGTTACTGCAGTTTCGTCCTATAAGGACATTTTCAAACTTATACATCAAACTCCAAGCGTTATCATAGTGACCAAATTTCACTCAATTTGTGCTTTATATAATAACAATTTGAATATTATGACCTTCTACCTAGGTAATGACTAATGATTTAGCCGAGTTCAGGTGAAACCTAATTGAAAATTTAAACATCTGGAAAGAATATTTTACCTACTCATCAAATGGACATGAAGTAAACTAATTACAATTTGTGCTTCATATAATAACAATTTACATTCTTGGATCTATCAATCACACATGAGAGGATCGTAAAAGAAAAACGGACAATACAGGAAATGGCAGTCAGCAACGGTTTCTCCACCAGGCGAGAGCTGTTGGTCGTTGTCAAAGGTGTAGAGCATTTCTACAAATACGTGTATGGAAGAAGATTTTTATTGAGAACTGACTATGCAGCTCTCAAATGGCTTCTGCAGTTCAAAAATCCCGAGGGCCAAGTAGCGCGCTGGATCGAGAGACTTCAAGAATTCTACTTTGAAATAGAACATCGAGCTGGGACTAGCAATTAAAACGCAGACGGAGGCCATGCCCCGACGACTGTTTACATTACCTACAAGCAGAAGAGAAGGAAGCAGCTATTTGTAGAACTACAGCTGTAGATGACAACTGGGAGGACAATAAGATCAAGGAAGAGCAAGAGAAAGACCCAGATCTTGGTTTAGTCATCGGATGGAGGAAAATTAATCAAAGAACATCATGGCAGGAGGTAGCAGGTTATTCGCCAGCGGTTAAGTCCTACTGGGCCCAATGAAACGCCCTTACCTTAGAAAACGGGGTTCTGAAGCGGGTGTTGGAGTCTGAAGATGGTGGAGAAGAAAGGCGCCAGACAGTGGTACCCAGGAACATTTGACGGGAGGTGCTCAAAGAAATCCATAATGGAGTCACTGAAGGACATCTGGGAATAACGAAGACCCTCCAGTAAGTAAGACAATGGTTTTACTGGTTTAATTGTCAAGCCGACGTCAAGGACTGGTGCAGAAAATGTGCTGTCAGTAACGAACTTCGGATACGACCGAAAGCTCCAATGCGCCAGTATAACGTAGGTAGTCCTTTTGAGAGAATCGCTATTGACATCGCCGGCCCGTTCCCTGAGTCCGACCATCGGAACAAATACATCCTGTAGCCATAGACTATTTCAGTGCATAGGCAGCCTATGCCCTGCCCAACCAGGAAGCCTTTACCATCGCTAACGATGTCGATTCGGTGTCCCATTGGAAGTGCATTCGGACTAGGGCTAAAATTTCGAGTCCAACCTGTTCCAAGAAATATGTAAACTGTTGGACATTCGAAAGATCAGAACCACAGCCTTACATCAACAGTCCGATGGAATGGTGGAACGAATGAATAAGACCATAAACCACCACTTGCCCAAGATAGTCTCTGACCACCAAAGAGACTGGGACTAGTACCTCCACCTGTTCCTGTTGGCCTATCATGTTGGCAGTGCACGAGTCAACCGGCCAAACCCCTGCCAGTATTATAATGGGCCGAGAGATGCGGCTTCCTTGCGATCTGAAATTTGGGACGCCGCCAGAACAAGACACTGCGGGGGAAGACTATGTCAGCAAGCTTCGGCAGAGAATGGACGACATTCATGAACGAGTCCGTCTGAACATCCGGAGTGCCAGCGATAGGATGAAGGAGGCCTATGACATCAAGGCGAATGCTGGAGGATTCGAAATCGGCGACCTAGTTTGGCTGTACAATGCCGTGGCGATGCCGTGGTTTATTACCGAAGTTGCGGAACACGTGGGAAGGTCCGTACAAAATCATGAAGAAGATAAATGACCTCGTCTATCGAATCCATAAGCCACTTCGAGGAAAGCCTAGGGTCGTCCATTCCAATACATTGGCTCCTTATGCTGTAATTCACGACCAAGTTCGCGGCCTCAGACCACCAGAGGATGAAATAACGTTCCAGATGTTCATGTTTTTATACTCGAACGGACAGACGGTCGTACATGGGGTAAGTCAAGATGAGCCACGAGACCTTTTCAAAGTTACATTGCGAGAACAGAATCCTGCAGTCGGAGGAATGCTACAGTTGAAGAAGGATCAGAGAAATATTTTCTATTTGATGACCAAAACGCATTCTCGGGATAAACTGTCCTATGAAGATGTCTGCAAGAGTCTTGCCAGACTGAGGGACACGATGCTCGACCAGAATCTTGTGGTGTACGGTAACCATCCTCCACGACCGAGCATGAAGACTGTGGAGTGCTACTTCCATCGAATTTTACAGTGCAGATATGGGGAGTCCTGCAGGTATCGATACACGCCAAGGATGACATTTCGGGGCGAAAACGTCTTTAAGAAGAGGGCAATGTAACGAATCTGAACCCGCCCCTGACCGATATGCCGGCCAGCGAACAAACACATGACATCACCGCGGAAGAATTCAGTCGGCAACCGCCGGTAAAACTCTAGTTGAGTATCGAACTGACTACAGATTTCTAGAAAGAACCGTTACATTATATAAGCCCTGCTTCCCGACCCAAGAGCGCAGTTCAGAAAGTGAATTGAGCGACTAAACAGGAAATTCAAATAGTGGAAATAAATTAAGGGTTAGTTGTTAAGTGTTGTAATAAATACATTTTGTGATTAGTGAAATATTGTTGGAAATACATTTGTTTAAGACAGTTAATTATTTATTTTGTTATAATACGGAAGATCAAAAAAATCAGCAGTAGCTCATCATATTTTGCGAAAAAAACACTCCATAGACTTTAGTTCATTGAAATTGGTTAGACAAGTTGACAACAATAAGCATCTATAGTCCGTTCATAATTTGTTGATAGCTCACTGCAAGTTTGACCCTCATTAGAGAACTGAAATACAGAGAGGACAGCTAATACGATATAATAACAAAAACCAAACTAAAACTGGCAGTTTAAGATGTTTTCGACTAACCCACCTTGTATCTGAAGAAATACAATACAGCTATAAAACTTTTAATCCGANACCGGTGTAAAACTTGATGATGTTGATGATGATGACGAAGCCATCGCAAGCAATCAAACAAAACAAGCAGGAACGAAAGGTACGTATATGTTTGTAGGAATATGAAAAAAAGTTACTCACGCACTGCACAAAATTCGCAAAATAAATATTAGAGACGTTAATTACTGCCGTAGACGCCGAAACACCAACGAGCCGTAAATTAAATGCGATTAAAAAATGTACTAAACCAAAAATTATTTTCGTTCGTAACAACTTCACCCTTTCAAGGCAAGTTTCGAATATAAACTGAAGCTTTACATTCAATGAATAAACACCTCAGGAACCTCCGCCTATGATTTTACGAGTTTTACGACCGTTTTATGACTTGGGCCCTCATTTATGCTATCGACAAATTATGAACGGACTATAGATGAGATTTTAGAAATAAGTAAACATGATAATATTATGAACAAGGATGGTGGACCAATACTTAATAGAATACTATATATCTTGCTGGTTGAAATATTTTATTTATTAGATTTACATGACTATTAGATTGTAAAATTAATTCAAGACAATTAAGACACAGTTACCTAGCAAATGTATCTATGGTATGAATGAGGACAATGTAAAATTTATTTTCGTGAATTTATGCGAAAAGCCATGTTTCTTGCAGTTCAATCAAACTTTCATTTCTCTCCATTTCTCAGAATGATATTAGCCTGTTTTCGACGAAATTGTTGAATTAGACTTCTAAATTATCTCGACACCAAATTTTTCTAATTAAAATGTAAATGAGCAATTTTCCGTTGACTTCTCAGATATATAAGGGTGTATTTCACGCATAGCTGAACACAAGAATTAACAGGATGCTGACTACGCGTCAAATCTGTTAGCACTTGGAATAATGTTAAGAATCAGTTTTCTGCTTCAATTTCTTTGCCAGTTTGTTGGTGTCGAGGCTTATAATGGGCCTTAGTTGACAGACTCCTTGAACATTTTATTCGTAATGTATATCACAGGGGTGACTATTCAGAGTTTTCTTACTCCAGTTCATTCATCATTCATTGAGTTCAGTGATTTTTTGATACCTACTATAAGCCCTTGTAAATACAAACTTTCTAAGGAAACTTGTACAAGGGACTATAATTGTAATGTTATTCAATATTAGACACGGTATTAGCCAGAAAGTAAAAGCAACCTTTGAAATAGGCTCAGTTTATAGTCCAGTCATTATAGTAAGTTCACCTCGGAATTCGAGATACCCAGCTGTAAGTCTGTAAATACTTGTATATTGACACCCTAAAAGTTGTCTCAAAACCTACATATGGTAGGGTGTAAGCAACTATTAAATTTCAAGGTCAAAGGTCACAAAAATCGGTTTTTTGCGCTTTTTTTGGAAATAT